CAATTATTTAATAAAAATATTTATGTGTCATAAATATTAAAATTAATGTTAATTTTTTTATTTTTTATGTAAATTAATGCATAAAATATATTTAAAACTCTCGTAATATGTAAATTTAGGGTAAATGTTAGATAAACTTTATACATATATATATTAAAAAGGCAATTGGTTAAATGACTCAGTTTCTAGTCAACCGGAGACACCTACTGGCGCATCAATTTTGGCTTTGGTATACGACATCATGGAGTTTGAAAGTGTTACTAGCTATTTATGATTTATGCTTGACTTGGAGCTGCACGATCGGGACCGTTATTTCGTTCAATGTGGAGCCCACAATTTAGCACCACACTTCCGAGATGAAAGAGCAGTGCTACAGGCACTCGCCTCCTGCACTCTCCAGCCAACACATGCTTTTTTATTGGGCCACGTAAGCTTACTCGCTATGAAATGATTACCTCTCCCACAATAATATAACGTGGCCCAATGAAAATGGAAGTGTTTGTTGGAGAGTGCAAATGGCGAGTGTTCCTACTATTCTCGAGATGAAATTAACAAACATTGTCCACGATGCTTAGCTCAAGACCCGTAAGCAACGTTTTTAACGTTTTTTTTTTTTTTTTTAATTTCATTAGATAATTTTTTTTAACCTATTTCATTCGAAAATATTAGTCAAATAATTTTTCATATTTTAAACTCTTTTTTTATTTATTTTACGATTTAAAAATAAAATTTATAAAATAAAATTTTAAAATTTTTTTTATTATTAAGATGTTTTTTTTTTTTTTAAAACAATTAAGTAAGTTTGTTGTTCCTTTGCTTTTGTAACTAAAATTTAAGGGAAATTATTTTTGTATAATCTTTTTATTTCATTTTTTTATACAATTTAACATGTGAGACATGTAATGTTGAATACATTAATTTTTTTAATGATATATGAAAGTTGTATAAAAAGGTGAGATAAAAAAATTTTTTTTTTTATAGCACAACCCAAAATTTAAATGATTCAAAATTAAAATTAAAAACAAAAAAAATATTTGTCAGGTATTCACTATATCACAAATTATTTGTTACTTTAACTAATTTTTACGTAATTTTAAAGAAAAACTTTCATATATATATATATAGATATTAAAAATACAAGTGATTTAACTCTTATATATATTTTTTAAGTAATTTTTTGTTACTTTAACTAATTTTTACGTAATTTTAAAGAA